GGTGGGGGCCAACCCCTCCCCCCCCAAAAAAGCCACAACCCTCCCCCCACACACTCACAGCCCCCCACAAAACTCATACCTGCCTACACACCACACACCCATTCCCCCACACCTATCTACCCCCCAACAAATCCCCCCACACACACACCTTCTCACACACCCCACATACCCACAAACCTATACCCATCCTACCACTCACACCTTCCCACAATATACAAGAGTAAGACTTCATTTTAAGCTAGTATACTATCACCTCTATGTACACTACACACACACATGTAAATCAGGACCAGGACAAAAATATTTTTTGAATTGAAACTAATGAATGTTGTAGTACGTTTGATTTTTAGAATATAATTTGGTATTTTTCTGGTTCCGTGATGGCAAAACCCTTTGCTGAAGGGAGTACCCCTGAGGACAAAGGGAGGGACTTCTGGTGGCAAAGGTCAGGGGTTAGGGGGCGGGATTGCATTCTCAAAATGGCGACCATGGGATGGGGCACCTGTCAAGGGTCGGGGCTACCCATGCAGCCCTCACTGGCTTGCCTAAACTCAGTAAGCGGCCTTCTGCCCAAAATTATTGCCCGCCCCGGCTTAGGTGGACATGTCAGTCAAGATGGCTGCTATCACATAAAATCCATCACTGCCAGTTGTCCTTTAGTCTCTATTTTCCCATCTGTGGGAATGCTATCCATGTAACCAAGGCCTCCTTGCCAGCTGGTTCCTGTCAATTATTTTCTCTCTCTAACCTATATCTTATCTCACAGGAGATGGGAAAGTGGATTTTAAAGAATTTTTGAAGGGTTTGACTGGCACTCAACAATCCTCCGAAAACATCGGTGAGTAAGAAGCATATGTTGAAAAGAGATGGATGCAGGTGCTTCATGTTGTTGAATTCTAGGTGTGTGTCCACAATGCTGGAAGGAATTTTAAGCATCTCCTTGGTGTATCTAACTTATCTGATATAGAATCTGGTCCATGGGTGACTGGTGCCTCCTGAGTCTGGTGGGGCACTTGCAGATGCCACTGGCAGCGGCGGGCCAGAGCTGGTGAGCTCCCACAGATGGCGGTGGCAGGGATGGCCCTGTCGGGGGAGGCACATTGAGCACCCACAGATGCCACCAGCGGCATCTCTGGTAGGGACGGCCCTGTCAGGGGAGCCCCTAACCCCCTGTGTTCTCCCTACACGTCACGTATGATCTGGTTTCTAATGTGCAAGGCTTTGAAGAGTGGACTTGAGCACCTAAATGCTACTCTCTTCCATCCTGTGCAAGTCCTTGGAAAGCATTTAATGTAAAAGGTGAATGGGTCCTCCTCCCCTTGCTGATTTTTTGTGACTCAGTGTTAAGGGTCATGATAATGCGTTACAAAAGTAGATGCTTAATCATGAATGCTTGGGGACTCAAGCAGAATGGAGTGGAAATGTACTTAGGTGCTTAGTCTGCTTGGAGGCCCAATAGATGCAGCCTGCCCCTAGTAGCTTGTTTTCTTTTCTAACCACTCCCATTTTCTTACAATTATAAATACACTGTATTCACAAACTTCATGGCACCTTCTCATGTTCACAGAGATGGAAGAAGCCATGAAAGCCATCCGCTCCATCAAAGAGGATGAGGTGGACATTCAGCAGCTGGAGTCCATCATGAGCAGTAGGGGCATACACTTGGCCCCAGAGGAGATTCAGAATGCTCTGAAGCACATTACTTGTAAAGGTGAGCATCTAAAAAATTAGAATGTCTTTTTTCAGGGCTACTGAGTGTTGAAGGGTTTGCAGACACAGGAGGTTGCATTAAGGGTATGCAGGAGGACACTCATTTTATTTAAAATAAACACTTGGGCTGGATTGAATGGAATCTATTTTTTGATGCTGAATCTATTCCTTCACTCTCATAGTTCTAGCATCAAAATCGACCCATTGGATGAGGGATGCATTTATGACCCTGTGTTATGTAGTGTACTATCCCTTGCTTGAGGATTTTAATACCTGTGTAGAAAAAGACATGCAGATACCTCAAGAGGAACTATAAGCCATGGCCTTGTCCTCTTCATGAACCACAGTTATAATGCAGATATAAGACCCTTCTTTCTCTCAGCCCTTCACATCTCAGGGCTGGATGGAAATCCAAAACATTCTAAAATGACATGGCTGACTCCCACTGCATTATTCTGTTGTAATGTGTGTGCAACTCCATAGATAGCAATGGTCTTTCTTGGGTATAAAACCTGTGTAATGCTCAGGTGGCTTTGCCCCTGAACATTCCTATGTCTGTTTTCCTTCATTGTTATTTTTAAACTAACTCATCCCTTTTGTAATACTATGAACGACAAAGATGTTTTCACTGGGATTAATTTGGTCCTGTGCTTTTAGTATGTTAGACAATTACCATCCAAAGCTCTTAGATGGCTTGGGAGAACCCCTCTTTTTTGCTTAGTACCTATTCATCATTTTTCCTTCTCTGAATTGAACTGTCTCATGCAGAAGATGGGAAGGTGAATTTGGAAGATTTCATGATGGCTTTGACCAAGAGTCAGCAATTTTCCCGAACTGAAAGTAAGTAGAAACTTCAGTGTACAGTACAGAAATAGGGACGTGTTCCTTTAAATGGCTTATGAACCTTCTAACAGTTCTCAGGATGTTCTGTGTCTTAGAAGTTGTCAGGATGTATGTTGCCTTACCTTATATATTATTGAATAGTTAGCAAATACAGTTATTCTGGGCCCAGATATGCCTGTGCTGCTTGTTCATACTATTGTTTTGCTAAAGAGGAAAGGATGCAAAAGAAATGTTATTGTAAGCAAAACTCTCTGGCAAACAAAGATATTTTAGGAGTAGTTTTCTCCCAATTTTTTTTTTCATTGAAATATGGTTGTTTTCTGAATCACTCTAGAAGTGGCTGAAAAACAGGAAAAAATAATTTCATGATAAAGAACACTGAGAAGTTTTTAGCCATTTTCCCATTCAAATTTGGAAGCACTCACAAATTTTCCAGCCAGCTGCAACTGGTGATAGAAGCTGATTGACAGAACTACATTTTGTGTAATTTTGGTAGCATTCTTGGCGATGCAGCTGTGTTTTGTCAAGAGTATTTATGTATTGTTTATATCAGTGTTTCTCAACCACTGGTGGGACACGAAGGTCGTGAAAGTGGGACTTCAACTCATTTGAAAATATAATTAATTGATTGATAATATAATATAATATAATATAATATAATATAATATAATATAATATAATACTAAAGTGCATGTAAATGTAAAAATACACTTCTTGGGGAAAGGGGGGTTTGTTTTTATCATGGTGGGACCAGGGTTTTTTGACCAAATGGTTGGTGGGATGTAAGGTGCAAAGGTTGAGAACAGCTGGTTTATATGAGGTGACACTCATAGTCTACAGTCAAGATCAGTGATCCACTGTGCCAGGTGCTGTACAAACACACCATGAGAGATAGTCGCTACTTAAAGAGTTTACAGTCTCCATAGACCAGAGGTGATCAGCCCATGTAGCCATGGTATTCAGTCTGTGGGGCTCCCCATGTGTCAGGATATTTGGCAGTAGGGAAGCAGTGGCAATTAATACCAAAATGAATACCACTACTGCTCCCCTGCTCCAAATTCACAAGCCCCAGGCAGGGCCCGGCCATGCCCCCTTCCCCACACATCTGGATCAGGGCTGGGCCATGTTGCACTACCTTCTCCCCCCATACAGCTGGATTGGGGCCAGGCCACACCCTTGCCCTGCCTCTTCAACTGAATTGGGGATAAGCCCTGTCCCTCCCCCCTCCTTCCTCTTCCCTTTCCCCATCCACACATTTGGCCATGCCTCCTCACCTCTGCACAGCCAGACCAGGCCCACTGGCCAGATCTAGTCTGCAGATGGATTGGGTACCATTCATCCAGCCCATAGGGCAAAAAGGTTGAGCATCACTGCCATAGACAAAAGGTAGGTCACACAGCAGTTAGTAGCAAAGTCAGGAACAGAATTTGTGTCTTCCAGCTCTCCAGACCACTGTGCTATCCACTACAGCAGTGGTTCTCAACCTTCGTAGACTTAAGGCATCCTTTAATTGACTCTCATAAAATGCCAATGCATAAAATTTCACTTCTTGTTTGACTACAGAAAAATAATAATGCAATCATTCTATTGCAAAGAACTCAGAAAGACTACAGCAGGTCAGAATATTTTAACCATAGATTTCTATTTAAAATCTCTGGGTTTATCTTGTGAATCATGTTTGCACACCTACCAGTGCTAACATTGTCTGGCACCTCATGGCATCCTTGAAATGATCTCAAGGTACCCCAATGGTGCCATAACACCCTGGCTGAGAATCACTGCACCAGAGCACTCTGCCTTTCCCAGGGCTTTTAGTTTGTTGTCATGACAAGGGGTGATCTAGAAATCGGCACTTTAAAAACTGTTCAGACTAAAGAGCTACCAGGCCCAATCTCAACTTCTTTTTTAGTCACAAGGGAAAATAAAATTGGGTATAATTCATGTGTTTACATGGAGTTTTCTCAGCATTGTGCCTGCCGGCTTTTCCATCTGCCTATCCCTGTTTGATTCTGTTCTGCCAGCTCTCGTAATATATAGTTTGAAAGGTTTCCCAGCTTGGCTTACTCTTAAAGGAATAACATCCTACAAAAGGAGCAAGATTTCTCTATATCAGTGACCTGTAGGGTGCATACAATGCCAGCAGCATTACATGAAAGAGTGGAGAAGGCATATAGACAGATTCTCTTCTCATTTATCTCTATGAATGCCATCAGGGTTACTCCACCTCTCTGCTAGAATATGTGAGGTTATAACCTGGGCCACTGTTAAAACCAAAAGCTACGTCATGCAATACAAAATAGAGTAATGTACCCAAAGCAAAACAATCCTATACAATCCATTAATGCATCACTTCAGGGGAACCCTGATTTCCAAGACCTGAAACTTTTACAGATACCTATTATTTCTTTCCTTTACCTATTCAAGAAGACAGGGTTAACATCCGAAGCCTGGACTGTATTCTGGACAACATGGGGATTTTCCTAACCCATAGGGAGATCCAAGAGGCTCTGAAGAACATTACCCCTGATGGTGAGCATTGGAAACATGTTTTATCCTTTGGTGGAGAGCAGTCTCCTGCAATTGCAGACCTGTATGTATGCAGGTGCATATGTATGGGTGTATGCACATGTGATACACTTCAAACAATCCCTAAATTATAGTTACAGTGTGACTTAACCCATCACAAGCCTTCACCACCCCTATATAAATGCCACTTCTATATAATCAGGGCCTCTCGCACACCATGCTACAGAGTCTCCTGAGGCTGCACCCAACAGGACTGCACCTCACAGTGCTACCATGGAAAGGAATATGGCAGTTTACATCTTTCCCTTCTCTCAGTTTAGGTGGTCTGTAGATTAGGGCAGGTGGCACCACACTGTTTACTTCCCTCTCACAGATTTAAAACTTTCTGCTCAGCCTTCTTGTTATAACTGCATTTTTTCTAGGAAAGCTAAAATTCTAACACAGGCTTGTCCCACATATGGCCCGTGGGCCGCCATGCGGCCCACCAAGGCATTTTCTAAGGCCCACGGTGCTGCGACAGGAAATGAAAATAAACACTGTTTACTTTCGTTCCCACCCCTTGTCCCTCCCCCAGCCCCTCAGCAGCTTCCTAATAGCTGCTGAAGGGCTGGGAAAGGGACAAGGTTCCCACACAGACCATGTCAGCTTGACATTGCCAACGTGGTGCGTGGGAAGAGGAGTAGCCATGTGCCTCTCGGGACAGGACGACCCCAGCCAGAGCAGCAGGGGCTCAGATGTAAATTTCCCCCTACCTGTGTCGGTCAGTCCCGAGCAGCACACGGCTCTGCCGCTGCCTCTGCTGGCTGGTGCCAAACCGGGCAGGTCTGTCCCATCCGGAGCAGCACGCAGCTGAAGCCAGATTCCCATGTGCTGCTGGGGACGGGAGGAGGCCGGCCAGGTCAGCACCAGCCAGCAGAAGTGGTGGCAGAGCCATGTGCCCTCGGGACTGACCGGTGCAGGCAGGGGGAAAATGCACCTGAGCCCCTGCCACTGCAGCCGGGCTTGTCCCATCCCTAGCATGGGGGGGGGGCCTCAGCAAGTGGGGTCCTGGAATGACTTCTGCGGGGCAAGGTGGCGGGAGCCAGTGTCTGCTGGACCCCATGCTCTGGGCTCGCAGCTCTGAGGCCACCGGGGCTGCATGCTCAGGCAGCTGGACACCAAGGTGAGCAGGGCCGTGTGGTCGGGTGGGTGAGGGGCTGCGGTGCAGTGGCCACCTCACTCCAGCCCCCCTCAGGCAGCGCCGTCTCGTGGGGCTGCGCTGCTGGGGAGATGGAGATGTGGAGCTGTTTATTTCTCCCCTTTAGTCTCTGGGGCAGTAGCTGGCTGGATGCACAATGGGTCCCTCCTGCCTCTGCCCACCAGCAGCTACCGTGAACCTTGCAGGAACAAGCAGGTGCAGTAGGTCTACACAGGCCAGGTCTCTCTGGCCCAGGACAGAGGGTGTTTGAATATGGCTCACCAGCCCACTGGGTGATAAAAAGTTCATGATCCGGCCACACATTCAAAAAGGTTGGACACCCCTGGTCTAACACAATCATGTGACTCCAGGGACATTTGGTAGGCACAGGCCCAGAATGCCTATCATTTAGCCTTGCCCTTCTCAGGTTTAGTGCAGGCTGAGATGCATTTCATTGTAAACCTGCCCACTTCTAATTCATTGGCACAGTGTCAGTGACCATGCTTGCAGCCAGTGGCATAGCCAGCAACTCTGGCACCCTGACCAGAACACTGGGGGAAGGGAGGTAAATGGGGAGCAAACTCCAAGTAGCAAAGGGGCTGCTACTCCCTGGTCACTGTTGCCACGGTGCAGGCTCCCCTGAACTGGGGCAACAGCGGAAGCCCTTCTAAATTGGCACCTGGGGTTGGTGTTGCCCTCACCCTACCCTAGTTACACTGCAACTTCCAGTCAACTCCACTTCCCCTTTGCTTTCTGGTTGGGATTCAGTGAATCTTGTTAGCTGCAAGTGGAAAATGCAGGTGCATATGCCTTAGCAGTGTGTACAATGGATAGTTTCTATGGACACCTTGGGAACGCCTTTTCTACAACGCTAGCCACGAGGTTTATTTCTCCTTCCTTAACCTTGAACTCTCCTTTTCCTCACAGATTCTGGCAAGGTGAATCTAAGCAAATTTATGAGGAGTGTGAGGGCTCTCCGGAAATTCTCCCACAGGGAAGGTGAGCATGCCAGGATGTTCAAAGAGGGATAGGATGTAAAAGTCATAATGCGCTATAGAGGTGTTCATCCAGTCCTGCTCCACATGTCCCCATGCACATGCCCTATACAGCCAGTTCCATCTGTTCTTGGCTGTACTTGAGAATAAGTACTTTGATCTCCCTAAGTAAGGCCTTTCCTGCAAGGCTAACTGTGAGTTAGCACTGAACCAGTGCCCAGCATGGTGCTGAGAGGCACTTGTGCAGGCAGACATGCCACCACTCAAAGTGCCACGATATAAAATCAAGGTCTGGACCAGGGGTACACAACCCCTGACACAGGTGCCAGAGCGTGGGACACAAATGCATTTTGTTTGGCATGCATGTCTTGAGGCAGGCAGCAGGGAAGGGGCAGGGACTGCACTGCCACAGCAGCTCCCCTGCTGTCTGCCCCTGGCACACCAGCATCTTACAAGTTAAAGGTTGCGGGTTTTTTTAGCACTCTGCCCAAAAAAGTTGTTGGCCCCTAGTTTGCACCATGCAGGGCTTTACATAGGAAAGCATTTGAGAACATATTGCAACACTAGCATTACTGAACCTGCAACCCCCTAAACACAATGGCTGCTATTATTGTGATGTGCCACAAAATAGTGATCTTATATATACAGATTATATGCTCACTTACATAAATAAGACTTTTTTAAACCTTTATTATAACAAATGTTAAAAACAAAAGGTGAAAGTGCCAAAGTGCAGAGTTCTCCAAGGGGCTGGGCATGAAACACTTATCAGTTACAAACTCCCATTATCCCCAGAGATTGAAATCCCCTTTTTCTTGCTCAATATCCTTCTTCATGGCATCACAAGTTAAATAGGACTAGCTGACCCTCTTCCACCTTGCAGAGTACCCCCTTGATGACCCAGCATGACATAAATTGGGCCACATTCTGTTGCAGGGTGATGTATGCAAACTCAGGTGAGTGCTCAAGCCAAGAACCAGGAGAGTTGGAGCGTATTGCCAGAGTCTGGCCCCCATAAGCTGATTTCTAAGACTCTTCAGGGTCACCATTTTGGCCTGACCCTGAAGGAAATTGCCCAAATTTCCCCTCAGCTGCTCAGTACAGAATAAAAAGAATGTACAGTCTTGGAGAAGTCCAAATCCAGTATGCCAAGGAGGGTGCTGCGGGCAACAATGCATAGCTGCAGCCAGGAGAAGTCCAGGAAAGTATGGAAAAGCATCTCCTCCACCTCCTCCTTTCAGAAGGGGCAGGCCACCAATGCTACCAGGTCTAAGTGGCAAACAAAGGTGCCAGTGGCCAGGGCTCCTTGCAGCTGCCACTGAAGGTCTTCAGTCCTCTGGGCAGTGGTCACTTCATACAGGGTGTGACAGGCCAGGTGGGCTTACTTGGGTGTTGCTGCTGCTGGATCTCAAAGCAGATCCCACTGCTATTCTTGTTGGACATGGGAAGGGATAGTAGGGTACCAGGCCCACTGCTTTTCTGGCTGTCCATGGCTAGAGAGATAGGCAACAGTGTGTCCAGCAAACAGCCATCAGGGAAAATCCATCTGAATAGAGGTGGTTCTCCAGGGCAACAAAATCATCCACAAGGAGGGCAGCCCTCACTTCAACCAAGAGACACAAAGAAAAGTGGATGGAGTGCAAGCCCAGGCTGCCCGGGCTTCAACTGGGAGCCAATAGACATGTAGTACACATGTATATATATATGTAATTACGTTGCATGTGTGAGTATATGTGTATTTGTACATGCATGCATTGTGTCCACAGGGCAGTTTCTTTCCTTCCTTTACCGTTCTAGAAAGGGGTCTGGCTCCATTTTGATCAGGAATTTTGCTAAGTAGAGTTTGAAATAACACCTTTCTAAACTCCCTGCAGTGCTAATAGAGTACTTTAAAATGTGCTCACTGGCTATGAACTGTGGGAAATTATTAACCCTCTTCAAAAAGGGGTGGGGAGCTGCTGCTGGGGAGGGATTTATGTGAATGGTTGTAACTGTTCCCCTTGCAAGCTCCTGCTGCCACAGGAATGAACTTCAACGGCTGTAAACGTAACCCTGAATGCAACAATGTTGCTTTGCTTTTATAGAAGGCTCTTGAAATGTTGAGCCCTTAAGGCATTTAAAAAATATATTGGTATGTTACACAAGATGCATCACTCAAGTGATCTGGCCAAGCTATATTCTTCCGGACTGCAGCTCCCTTCCAGCATTGTCTGGATTCAGTATTTCTCACTCTCTGAGCAGAAATCTGCACTCACTCAAAGCCTGCAGTTTAGAAGTTGAAATGTTGTCTTAGTGAGGACTAACAATTTTTCTGATGGGTTTCTACAGATGAGTTATATTTGATTGTAAAATAATGTCCGAGCATGCTCAGGTGGCATCTGCTGAGATTTTCAGAGGGATTCAGTAACATGTTAACCCATTGCTGGCACAGGAAGTTTGTTGTCTCTGCCCTTCTGATAGCCTAAAGCAATGCTTTTCAACTGGTGTGCTGTGAAGAGCTCCCTGGCATGCCACAAGAATTTTGGAATGAGAAGCAAGTTCTCCAGCTGCCTACCACTAATGAACAAGCCGCACCAGTGAGATATTCACAGAAGATTTGCACATGTTGGCTATGGGGGAGAGAAAACCAGTCAAGCAGAAGGAAATTCATCTACTGCTCATGTGTTGGCTGTGGAGGACGCACAGTTCATGAGCCTCTGAACAGCTGTACCACCGAGTTTTGCCACAGCAATGAGCTACAATGAGTTCATAAGCTTGAGGATGGGGAATGCCTTAACAGTTGTGCCGCCAAAAAAAAATTATTTCCTTGGGCAGGAAAAGGTTGGGAAACACTGGTCTGGAGGCTGCAAGTTGGAGGACATAGCAGAAGCACTTACTGCATGGCCCTGTCAGAGTCCAGTGAAATTCTGCTAAATATATTGTCACAACAAGGACACAAGAACCTTTTAGGCTAGGAACAGACATTCACAAAGCCTGAGCCTGAATTTGATTCAATCTTTGCAGGTTAGTCTAAGCTGGCTAGGCTGAACCAGTTTGTAACCAGACAGACATTCTCTCTGGACTGAGGAAATTCAGACGCATGCTTGCAGTGGCAAAGACTAGAAGCCAGGGGACGCTAGAGCATCCCTTGCACAGTGCTGAGCTGAGGTGGGGTGTGGCGGCAGGACCTCTGATTAGTGAGGTCTGCCTGCACCATGCCAGGCTTTTCCCCACTCACTGCTCAAGGGGTGGGAGTGTTGCCAAACCCCAGCCCCTTGCTAGTTCTCTAAGGCAAGGGAGGGGTGTCCAGTATATGCATCTGTTAACGCTATAGACCTTTTCAATCTCTCTCCTTACTTCTTTATACTGTCTGCAGCAAACTGACAGGCAAGCAAGCCAGCAGGGGGCTGTAACAGTGTT